GGAGCCTCCGCGCCAGGAGGAGTGCCCCGGGGTGATTGGTGTGTGCCACGCTGAGGGCACCGGGCAGGAGAGATTCAACTCTTCATTCCAAATGGCTGCTGGTCCAGATGTTACCCCGGGTGTCCAGAAGTGCTGCTTGAGAGAAGGCTGCTGTCTGTACCTGTGCTATAGATAACCTGTTTGCTTGCATGCGTGGGTTACCTATTTGAAGGGAAACAAAAAGGGGGGGGGGGGCAAAATTACTTCACCTTTCAGAAGACTGCCTTTTCATTAGCTTTCCTGGAAATAGAGGACACAGTCCCGATGTATCCTTCCTCCCGGTTTTTACAAAAGAAAAAGTCCTGATGTGGACCCTGGAGACATGCATTACGTTGGCCTCTTCTCACAAAGAAGATCCTTACTAATATTTCCATTGACATCAAAGATGAGTATATTGTCTTGACCTGTGACAGCACAAGTGGATGCAGTGTGTGCAGTTTTGAGTGGATTACAGGCAGATATATTTCATATCTTTGTCTTTTCTGATGCCTAATGGGTACTCACTGTGGATTTTGCCTTTGCCCCTAAGTGACAGTGACAGATTTCTATAATAAACTATATACCACTACAGTGGATTGGGATACGTGAACCCTACTTTGTACTGGTAGCTCCCTAGGTCTTTAGATGTCTCTATTAGAAGCAGCTTAAGTGCCGAGCACTTACATGTGGCAAACACTTGTCCCATTTTTAGACAGAAAAACTTGTACTTTCTTTTTAACCGACTTATAAGAAAGAATGATTTTTGTGGACCCTGGAGACATGCCTTAAGTTCATTATGTGGTGTGTGCACCCCTACTTGAATATGAAAGGTGGGTCTCCTCTAGCTACCAAGATAACGGTATTTTATGTATTCTAACACCATAAGAAATGCCTGCCGCTTGCAGGTAAATACTATGTTGGTGGGTGAGTCCTACAAGACAAACGAATCCTGCAGTTCCATTTAATGTCTACTTCCATTCGTTTGCATACAGCCACACTGCAGACATTGGGCAGTACTATCTGTTGCGCCCTGTTGCCCCAATCAGTGTAGTCATAGAAGGCTAAGAGTTTGCATTTAGTAGCAATATGGGGTTTCCCCTAGAAACTGGTGACTAAAAATGGTGTGAACGGAGATACAATTTCCAAGTTGCGCTAATGTGTGCTCTGTAGGGTACTAGATTAGGTTACCAGAGGAGAGTGGAATTTGTAACTGATGACCCTGGCTCCACCAGTAAAATCCTCCTCTATTGCCCTCATGATGTTTGTGATCTCTGTCTGGATAATGTCTTCAGGTGTCTGCAGGCAAATAGACCAGGCATGTTGTAGAATAGATTATTTTCTCCTGTCTCTATAAATTGAGAAGGATAATTTATCTCATCTTATTAGACGTATTTGCCCAAGTGCTTTTAATATTTCTAATTGATTATAGATATGCAGCAAACCTTGGCAGTGTTGTCAGAAATAACTAACTCTGGTTGAAATCCTATATAGCCATTGCCAAGTGTTAAATGTAGAAGATTGATTTCACCACAACCTAAAATGCAACTCTGTAATTTCATCTGTAAGAGAAGAAATAGTTGTATGCATTTTTATTTTATTTTGATAAATAGTAAAAACAAACAGAGTCTACATTGGAAAGAACCTTTTAAAATGAGCTAGTCTTCCTTACCCAGGTAGATAGAAGGGCTAGGAAGATAAATATGCAAGTCACCTTTATATTCTTTTTTAAATGGCCCCTTCCTCAGAAATAAATTTAAAAATGAGGTAGTTTGGGGTTATAAGTGGAGCGGTGGCATCCTGCTTTATTTACCATCAGCAGGAGGGATAGTGAGGCGAAGTCACACATTCCATTAAGAACCCATTTCCCTCTCCGTGGCCTGTTCCTAACGGAGCTCCTCAGCATGCCACTTCACGTGAGCTTCCAGATCATCTGTGTCTGCTTCAGTGAAGAAGGAGGTTCATATATTGTAAAATCTGTTCTGAGCCTCATCTGAAATCTGAACAGTCTTTTTTACTTTAAAAAAAAAAAAAAGATAAAGCCTGGCAAATTAAATATTATATTCAAAGTAGAATGCTTCCATTTTTGTCACTGACCTGATCATTCATTATTTCTTAAAGTGTATCAATAGCCGTGGAATAAAATGCTGTAGGAAGGCTAGGTGATTATCCTGGTAGAGACGACTCCTTTCTTTGAGGGTGAATGTTAGATAGCATTCCCGCTTTGGCTCCACCTTCCATTCCAGGCCTTGAGCTAATTCCAGATGTGCCAGTGTGGTGGTAGCCAAGCTGCCTTCATTGGGCAGCCTCAATAATTTGATGTTCCCAATGTTTGGGATCCATTGTTCACTAGGAAAAAATACTTTGCCAATAGCAGATATTTCCCTTAAGACGTGCCTTTAACATCTTCAGTGTTGTCTACTTTTAATTTAAAAAAACAACGTTTTAGGTGTGCAAGCAATGCCTTTGTAACACCTTGCCTTGCTGGACTTTACCCTTGAGTGTCAAAGCACCTGCATGTCTTTTGTGAGTTTTCACCGGATTATCACCTCTTCAAATGTCTCGTAAGCCTATTTCTGCTGGCTGTGCTCTCGGTTCAGTAATGTGCCTCCCTAATGACTCTGCTGTCAACTTGTGATTCAGACAGGACCGGCCCAGCCAAGCACAGAGCTCTGCATCAGGGATCCCTGCCCTGCATCAGATTTCGGCCTGGATTCTTATCATTTAACCCTGAGAAACGTCATTGGGACTCCATTGAGCACGCTGCATTGTTACCATGTTTCATCAGAGATCGGATCATGACTGGTTATACATCAAATGTCGCCACTTTCCATCTTGAGCAATGCAGGTCTTGGGACATACCCCTACAAAGACGTGGCCTCCAAATTTTAGTAATATTTGCTGCATCTTTCCATGTGACCTAAAGGAATGCACATAGAATGGATTCACCTACATCTAATGCGCCGCCAATGGTTCTGAGCATTGGGGGGGTGGGGGTGTTGCTTTGGTGAAAATCGATGGGGATTGGCTCAAAGTGGGGGGGGGCTGTCGACATGTTTTCTATAGACTGACAGATGATTTATACTTAGAAGTCATGGGGCCTTGATTCCTTTGGTAACTGCTTATTCCTTGGGCATGAGACAGCCCTAACTCTAGGTGAGCCTCGCAACTAAAGATACCAGGCTGGATTGGCTCAGAAAGTGCCACCTCTACCAGCAAGATAATCACATTTGTGCTTGAGAGCTTGCTTCTCGAGGAGTGATGCCTTGCTGGACCTATGTCCAACCTACTTCTAACGGCAAAACTATGCACTCGTCTGTTTCTGGCGGTAGTACAGAGCCCTCCGCCAGAGCGCAACGCCGCTCAGCAACCAGCTATTCAAATTGTGAACAGACTCTGAGCAGCTGGTGGAGACATTTTTCAAAGGCAAAAAAGTCTGGATCTCAAGGGAAATGGTCTGGTGGACAGGAAGGAAGAAGACGCTGGCCTCTGCAGAAAGAAAGACAAGGAAGGCCTGTGGAGCCTGGACAGAGCAGCAGCCCCAGCTCCTGGGATTCCAGTCTGCTCTGAGAGAAGCCCAGAGTCCATCAGAGCTCTCCAGAGTGACCACCTGTCAGTTTTACTCTGTGGCCTCACAAAGGCCCTCTTCCTGATAGCCCCAAGAAGGAAGCACTTCATTTACCATCACAGCTATGGTTTTCCCCTTTGCCCATCTCCCTAACACCTTTCAGATGTTTCCAGGTGATATAATGACTTCTCAAGGCAGAACATTTGATTTGCTGTTCTCTTACACACTCACACACACACACACACACTCCCTCACAGACACACCACCTGAATAGCTGAGGAATTTACAGCAAATTATTAGTTATGTTTGCCATCGGTCTGTGGGTTTTCATACTGAAATTTATTTCACTATAGGCCATGCCTGGATTGTGAATATTTGACTTTACAAATCGTCCTTGCCTTTTTGTGTTATGTAAATTTGCCCTAGCTTTTGAAAGATTGAACAAGCCCCTACTTGAAAAAATCTTTGGTTCAGTCACCTTCATTTGCTGCGCATGCAACTTTGAAATCATTGAGAGGGCTTTGAACCTTTTCGTACACTGAAGGAAATTTAAATATGAATCATGTACCTGTTCGGCTTACCTATAAATATTCAACCAAAAGACACACTCAGATCTCATTTGTAACCTGGGGACTGCGGTATTCCATTTCTGTTTAGCCTCGAGTGATCTAGTACCTAAGGTAATTGCTGTATCTGGTCTTAAATGGTACACGTCTGTGAACCTTAAGATCCAGGAACCTGCTTCTACCCACCCACACGTACACACTTGTTATCTGAGGCCTTTTTGTCTGTTTGGCACTCTGCGTTTTGCACAGCCCACTACCCTCTACCCTTTTGTTAGCTGGGTTCTTATTTTGAGAAAGATGTTGGGCCAGCAGCAGGAGCGCATCTGTTCTGGGGGAGTCTTTATTTGGGTCTTCAGGTGACCCTAAGGGGTTTTTTGTTTTGTTTTTGTCTCCAGACAAGCAGTAGTCTGCCGTACTGTTCATCTTCAGGAGAAAGGACACAGGCTTTACCTTCCCTTTCAGAGAATTCTTTGCCCCTTTGGTTCTTTCCTTCGGCATTTGTACAGAAGGGATTAGGATGGGGGCGGGGTGTAAATCGTGTTTCCCTGAGACTGGATTATTTCTTGGAGCAGGTCTACCAGTTCCAAAGTGGAGTATGAGCCCAGGCTTTGGGAATCTAGGGCTGTAGTTGGCCTCAAGGGATGGACTCTGACAGGTAAGGGAGGGTTTCTAGTGGCTTCAAAGAAGAGAACCAAACATGACATCATCACGGCTGTAAACACCATGCTCTGGTTGTGGGGAGGGGATGTGGGAGTGGGGGGTTGTTACCTGCTTCCTTACTCTATCAGGCCAGAGCTTTGTGTGTGGTCCCTGGTCTGTCAAGGTGATGATCTCTGATTGCTGAGTGCATGAAATCAAGACTCCACTTCCAACCACTTCTAAATGCTCCCCAAAGGCAGCTTTATCCACTGATCTTTAATAATCCAAAGTACTTTTCATTGTCCCTTCCTTCGAATCCTAAGTGTTTGCCCACATGCACTACAGCAGCTCTCGTATGTGTTCAGAGGGCTATGTGACATCATGGGAGAAGTTCCAAGTAAAACAAAACTCATCGTCCATCTACCCTGTAATAAGAAAAATTTAGTTGTTAGCTGTCATCTAAATTCCCTAGTTTTCCATAGATTTGTTTGTTTCTATAAATGAGGAAGGCTAGTGAGCCTTAAAATACACAACCAAGGCTTTTCATAGAAACAAAATTGACATTTAAGTTGCATTTGCTGTGTCTATGTAGATAAGTGAAATACTGGTTCCCTACCCAACTGATGACATCATTTGGGGTAGCCAGTATGTGAGATCAGGTCAATGAAAAAGGACTAAGCAAAACATGCCTGTTCTTGAGAGGCTTAGTATAGTTGAATAATTTCAGTTCGCTGTTACTGACCTCTCCATGCTGTGTCCCAGGCAGACATGTAAGCCAATGATTAACAGTTATGGGTGCTCATAGAAGGAGTGCAGTAGCAGCATTCCAAAGGTTTGATGGAAGCCTCATGATCTCTGCGAATGGGAGAGGAGCCATTCTGAAAAGGAAAGTAAGAATGGTGGTCATCGGTGTCACTGAATTGTCATTCGAGAAGTGGTTGCCTTGGTGTGTGTTTAGCTGTCTTGTTTCTGCAGCGGTGGAAAAATGATGCATGACTTTTTATATACTAGTGTGAATATGCTGTGCTGCACTCAAGGTAATGGAAATACTGAAAGAGATGTGCGGGAAGGAGATTAAAGACATGGAACGTGAATTTGCCTGGAATTGATGATAACCAGATTAGTACAGGAGAGAAACCATCTAAACAAAATTATGAGAGATAGGTTCTATTAGTTCAGTTGTCAGAAGGTTGTACTGAGTAATGTTAGCTGCCATCAAGTTGGCCCTCCACCGAAGGTGGTCCCATATGCAATGGAACCCTGCTGCCCAGTCCAGCATCCTCCTCACAGCCGGTTGCAGATTAGAACATTTTCATCCATGGGCTTTTTGTTGGCTGGTTTTAGAGATTGCCATGCCTTTCTTCTTCGTCTATCTTGGGCATGAAGCTGTGTAATGAACGTGCACAACTTGAATTATGGAGAGAGAATAGTTGAGGAGTCAGGCTTGATTAAGGAAGGGTGGCTAATCTGGTGTTTATGTGTTGAGTGAATTGAAATATAGGAGATTGGTACACTTGTGTTAAGTACTAGCATAGAAATAAGGGCTTAGATTGGGTTCAATGAATCCAGTGGGACTGGACCAAAAAAAGTGAACAGGATTTAGTTAATTTATGGAAAGAGAAAAGGAAGCATCAGATTTCACTTTCAAGAGCTTACACAACTTGACAAGATGATTTTAGGCTGAAGTGAAGTCAGAGAAGGGGCTGCAGGTTGGAGAAGGCGTGTGGCTCTAGAACTGTGAGGAATAAGTGTCTCGTGGGGTGGATATGACTCAGTGGAGGGTATTGAGTCAGAGGCTTCTGTATCAACGATCAGGTTGGAGAGATTCATTAGCTGTGATGGAAAAAGCACAGAGCCGAGTGTTCTTAATTCTTTTCTGTATGGGTGTATCATGTGCTGCTTCCCCCCTTGAATTGAATTACCTTGCTAGAGATTGTGAATTACTGTTTTCTATATTTCATGAACAGCGCCTTTGATCACTGTTACTTTGTATGAGACTACCATTTGCTCATTTTTCTAAGAGTCTTGTCCCTTAATTGCAACCTCTCAACATCTGTCCTTTTTTAAATCTCTTCAGATTACTGGGAGAAGATCTGTTCTGGATACTTTTCACTTTGAAAACGTGCTGCGATAGGGTGATAGGAAGGCATGCTGGACTTGCCCCAACAGCCTGAGGAAGACTTGAGAGTTAGAACCTGCTGGCTCTGATCGTCACCCTAGAGCACTGTCCTTCAGGGTTGAGCCAGTTCTCCCTGTCGGCCGGCCATGCTTTCAGGAGAAGGGTGCTTGGTGGCTTTGATCGTCACCCTAGAGCACTGTCCTTCAGGGTTGAGCCAGTTCTCCCTGTCGGCCGGCCATGCTTTCAGGAGAAGGGTGCTTGGTGGGTGGGAACTTCCTCCTGCAGAGTGGCGAGTGGTCTGCCCTTCCCTTTGTTTGTCTCAGTCTCTTGTTGCTCCTGCCCACAGGGATCCATATGGCTTTGGAGACAGTCGTGATACGAGACATGATACAAGACACGATCGCTCCCCAATTCGGGGAAGTCCAAGGAGGGAGCCCAGGAATGGCCGGGATGCTCGGGATCACCGAGACCCGCGGGACCACAGAGATAACAGAGACCTGCGGGACCGGGACCACAGAGACAGCCGAAGCATGCGTGATGCCCGGGACATGAGAGATCCTAGAGATTTCCGTGACCTAAGAGACTCTAGGGATTACCGAGACCACCGGGAGCCTGTGTATGACAGATACAGGGATATGAGAGACCCTCGAGAGCCCGTGTACAGGTACGAACACAGCCCTTCCCACAAGGGCATTCTGCTGAACTTGTGAACTAGCCCAAAATTCTGTAAGGGTGGGCTTTGAAATGTACATGCTGAGCAAATTAGTCTCAGAAGGACAAAGACTTAAATCACATGAAATAGAATACAGACGCCAAAGATGGTTAGAGGTTAGCGGGACCAGGAGGCAGGGCAAGGGGAGAGTTTTTGCTAAGGAGAACACTAAGTTATGTTATAGTGGTAGAATGAATTCGGGGGAAATAGTGAGAATTGGGTGCACATCTTGAAAAATGTAGTCAGTATCACTGAAAATGATGGATGGTGTGTGTCATGTTAATGTGTGTTTTTACCACACGTTTTTTAAAAGGAATCTATCAGGGCATTGGCTCTCAGCCCTACAATCAGTCATTTTGCATCGACTGTGCCAGGCACTGTTAAGTCACCTTTTAGGTACATCACTTCTCTCCATCTTGCCAGTCATTGTGTGAGTCAGGGTAACTCAGGTGCCACCTCAGAGCTGTTAAGCCATGAATCACAGGTGTTTCCTTGGATTGGTGGTGATTTGATTCTCCCAATTCAATTTGATCCCAAATTCGAAGAAGTCTACTATGCTTGCTTCCTCAGAGGGTGCCAGTGTGGAAGAATTCTCTACATCTGATTTTTGCAGGCTAGGACAGAGTTTTTACTTGGTGCAAATCCCCCTTGCCTTTCAGAAGAGAAGGCTCTTATGACCGCTACATGCGATTAGATGACTTTGGCAGGAGGAAGGACGACTCTTACTCTGACCCGTACAGAGATAACTTTGATGGGCGGGGCCCTCCAGGCCCAGACAGCCAATCTCGTGCAAAAGGTAAAGCAACAGAAAAAAATCTCTTCTTATGACTATTAATCTATTCTTAGAAACTTTTATGAAAGAAAAGAAAAACTAGTTAAGTAGTAACCCTGCATAGAAAAGAACTAATAACTTGACGAGGCAATTCACACACAGCCTGTAAATGTGTACATAAGATTTGACTTGAATTCTCCCCCACCCCCAATGTGGATTAGTACCATCGTCCAGTTTAGTCATCCCAACAAGGAAAAAAATATATAGATAGATAGATAGATATGTGAAATTTCAGCAGATAGTTTTCATTTCTGATCAAATCATGATGTTTCAGGACGTCTTTGAATTTGTTGTAAAACTTTGCTCCCTGACTTACTGCTTGCTTTTTTTTTGTTAAGTCAGCAAACTACAAACACCTGTCAGTAAAACTTAAAAAAACAGCTGTCCTATAAAATGCAGATTAGAATGATTAACAGAATGGCATCTTTTTACCTGTCAGATTGGCAAGAATTAAAAAGAATTCTTATACCCAAGGTTGACTTAAGGTATAGAGAAGCAGGCACTAGAAGATTGACCCTAGAGGTATAAATTGAATCAGTACAACTTTCGTAGAAGGTAGTTTGGCATATGTTTCAAAGGTATTAAAAGCTCTTTAATCCAACCATCACATTTTGAGAAATGTATAATAGTGGGAAATGAATGCTGGGTAGCTGTAGAGGAGAAATGCACTACAGGGTTGATTCAAAAAGAGAGTATATGTATTAGAACCGATGCTGGAAGTACTTTGGATCAGAATTAAGCCTCTGGCTTCTTCCTCATTTTTTCTCATTCCCATTTTCCCTGATGGTGTCTTGCAGAGCGTTTGAAGCGTGAGGAGCGCCGTAGAGAAGAGCTTTATCATCAATATTTTGATGAAATCCAGAGACGCTTTGATGCTGAGAGGCCTGTTGATTGTTCTGTGATTGTGGTCAACAAGCAGACTAAGTAAGACCCTTTTGGTGTTTGTACCCTGGGAAGAGAAGGATCGGTGAGAGTCCAGGCTCCCTCACAGCCATCTGCCTGTTGAACGTGGCCTGGGGCTCTGGTCCTATTGCACTTCATTAGCCTGAGGTCTTGCCCCTTGGGGTGACGAAAACCCAACTCAAGGTGACATTAAAAACCCCAGAAGGGAAATTAGAGTTGGTTCACAGAAGTGCTTGCACAGCCAGCCTCGGGGTCAAGCGGAGTCTTTAGACTTGGGTGTGGGGGTGGTCACTCAGTGCTTTCCTTGGGGTTGCCTTTGTCCCCAGGCAGCCTTGCTACTTAAAATGGCAGAATGGCACTGCCCCTGCCCTGCTGTCTTCTTAGCCTAGCAAGCCCATTAGGGGGAGAGCTTTACTTTCCCACCCCCAAACCAGTCACTTTAGCCAAGAGTGCCTGCATGCTCTCATTGGCCAGGCCTAGGTCATGTGCTGATGTAGGGGTAAGCTAAACTCAAGGAGAAAGGTGGCTTTCCAACATCAGGATGAAGTGGCGCTGGGTCAGACCAAAGCCCTTCATGGGAAGAGCCCAAGCCCCAGATCTTAGACAGCACGGTCTCTGTCAGCCAGGCACCAAGTCTGCCCTGGGGAGGAGTACCGCGGCCTTGCAGAACTGTTAGATGACCACGTTAGTCAAGCCAGAGTTCACAGCACTGTTCCTCCCCCTGCTTTGCAGGCTCTCCTTTGAGAGGTGGGACAGAGAAGCAGAGCCGTTATGTAGTGGCTTGCAGGCTTGGCACTAGCTGTGTCTTCTTTCCCCGGGTGGTTAGCAGATAACTTCACATTTTCTAGCAGTTTGAGGTTAAAGCGCTAATTTCCAGGCAGTGACTGGGGAAGTAGGTGTGGAGACACCAAGCAGCAGGCAGGGTTCACAGGCTTTGGGCTGCCTTGTTCAGAGAGAAGTGGCTTTCACATTAGGTCGTAACTGTCATTTTCTGAGCACCTACTTGGCATTGATCCATGTTTTATCTCGCTTATGTTTAATAATCGTATTAGCATGTTTAGTCACCTGGCAGTGTTTCTAATACCGGCCAGCTGTGTAATTGAAACTAGGAGCTGGGGCTATGAGGATAATCAGATACACAGCCCCTTCCTCTGCAGTGGACACCCTCCCTGGACAGGTTACATGCATGAGTCCTATGGGAAGAAAATACAGTCCATTTTTGTCACGGATTCCATATTGGTAAATTTGTTCCCTAACATTTATTTTTAACCCCTAAGTCGTCAATATGGGCACTGGTGTGGTTGCAGACACGTGGAAAAGAGTGGAAAACCCTGGCTTGGTCCACACATTGGGACATGTTCCCACCTGAGTGAAAAGCTGCTCGGCCTTCTTGGCGTTGCTCTTGCACTGTAGACCAGTCCCTTCCTTTGACAGCCTGTTTGGGCCTGCCTTCCTGCAGGCTTCTGCATTTTGTTGGTGATGTCACTGTTGAAGATGTCCCCCAAGCATAATGCTGTCCAGCTGAAGACTGCTGTGCTGTGCCTCACGGAGAACATACATAGGTGTTAGAGAAGCTTCACTCAGCCAGGAATTCGTGTTAGTGAAGCAGCCACATACATTCACATGATGCCTTCAAATAGATCAAGTGATGGGAATGTGACTCCCAGAAACTTCACCAGGTGTCTCCTCCAGGAACAGTGCTTTGACAGTGTTAGTTCTGTGTTCACAATGACTTTGTAGAGGGTAACTACCAAGAACACTAGCAAGTGACTGGCCATCCATCCACCCCACTGCCCTGGAGACCATCCCGATGCACAGCACCCCCCTATGGGGCAGAGGAGAATGGTCCCCAGTGCTGGTGTGACTGTCAGTCTGCTGCCTTGGCTGCAAGCTGGATTAAATAGCCAGCATTGAGTTCGTAGTCTAGTGTTTAACCAACTGCACCACTGAGGCTCCTGGTTGTATCTCAGCCATTTCCATTACATCGAAGGAAGGTTAAAGAAATGATGGATGTTATAAACCAGGGGTCCTCAAACTTTTTAAACAGGGCCAGTTCACTGTCTCTCAGACCCGTTGGAGGGCTGGACTATAGTTTTTAAAAAAAACTGTGAACAAATTCCTATGCACATAACTTATTTTGAAGTAAAAACCAAAACGGGGCAAAAAGACCCAGTGGGCCAGATAAATGTCCTCAGCGGGCCACATGTGGCCTGCGGGCTGTAGTTTGAGTACCCCTGCTCTAAACCATATTATTCCTGTTTTAGTGGTTAAAAAAAAAAGAAGTTTGTAGGAGGTGTAAAAGGGTCTTGCCCAAAGTGTCACATCTCTGCTCACGAAGGGGTAGAGCTGGAATCAGAGCCCCTCTCCTGCTTTCAAGCATGGGCTTTTCCATTTTGTCATAGGGCCTTCTCTGGGACCAAAGTGTGCTGCAGGCCCAGACAGCAAGATGGTTCACAGAGGACACTTGGACTGGAGGACGGACTGTGTTGCAAACTCCGTGACTTCGGACCTGTCAGTGATTGCGAGCCAGTGGGCAGCAGAGGGGGGTGGTCTAGATCACTGGAGTCTGAAGAGGACCCTTAGGTGTGCGCTTTCCTCTCTGAGCATAGAACTGGCTGAGGAGAAGCTGGGAGACGTTTGGAGCTGGTCCCGAGTCAGGAGGGTTCACCTGGCTCCTGTTTGTTTCTGCAGAGATTATGCTGAATCTGTGGGGCGGAAGGTCAGAGACCTGGGCATGGTCGTCGACTTGATCTTTCTCAACACAGAGGTGTCACTGTCACAAGCCTTGGAGGACGTCAGCAGAGGAGGCTCTCCCTTTGCCATTGTCATCACCCAGCAGCACCAGATTCACCGTTCCTGCACAGTCAACATCATGTTTGGAACCCCACAAGGTACAGAGCCCCCGTGGGTCGGAATTCCAGGAATCCAGGAATTCTAGTATGTGTTCCTCATGGAGCCAGCTTTGGATAGAAGAGATCTGTCCAGGCCTCCCCTAAGTGGACTGGCGGGGGGACGTGTAGTCAGTCCCTTTCTCTTCTGGTAGTTTTTCTGTGGTTGCAGTGCTGGACTTGGTACTGCCCAAGATGAGCTCCTCGGATCGCACTGAGATGTGCTGCCACTTGTCTAATAACCAGTTCTCGGGGAAGGGATGAGCCACCAGTTGGGTGTTGCCAAGGGTGGGTTTGGGGAAAGCTGCACATAGCTGGCACGCAGCACCCCTCTGGCTTGTACAGCACTGGCTGCAATCGCATCCTCGCTCTCACCTACCTATGCCTTGTCTAAGACTCAAGAAACAGCCAAGGGGGCTGAGAGAACGGGGTGGCCCTGACCACCCCACCCCTGGTGCTCAGGATGGCTTCCTTGAAGTTCTTTCCTGAACCATGAAGTCGTTTCAGTACTTGGGAGTGCAGCCTGTCAGGACTCAGATGCCTGGCATGCCTCCGGACAGACTTTCCCTGCATCCGTGACCATTGAGTGCATGCCTCGGATGCTCTGCTGGGTGTCACTTGTCTCTTTGGGAAGTTATCCTTGGGGTTTGGAGGCACATTCAGACACGGTTTGGAGGCAAATTCAGACACGGTTGTGAGAGTTGTCTTGTGCCCGTGGAAGCTGTGTTGCCCAGGGCTCAGGAGAGGTGGTTATTTTGGGGCCCACTTGGATCTCACTCCCTGGCCATTGGTGGTAAGTTGCCGTCTGAGCTGGCAGATTCCCGTGCAGCGGGCAACACTGCGGAGGAGCTCAGTGGGAGCCGGGTGGGGTGGAGGAGCTCTACGACCTCCTGCTGCTGATCCATGAAGCTCAGCCTGCCTCCTGGGGTTGTGCTCCACGCAGTCTGTTTGAACCGGTGGGAGGCTGTCCTGTTTCTTTGGTTTATACTACCCGCCTGTGATCTCAGAGATCCCCAAAGCAGCAGCTCTGTCCAGAGCTCCAGCCGCCTTGTCCTCACGGCTTTCACACCCCCCACACACACACCCCACACCCCCGTCAGCCCTCCTTTGTCACTGAAGTGGTTTTCTTGCTGGTGTGAGGTTAGGCAAAGCCGCATAGGGCCCAGTAGGTGGGCACCCAGCTCAGTAAGGGGAGAAAGTAACTGGGGTCATTCCCCCTGCAGAGCATCGCAACATGCCCCAGGCAGACGCCATGGTGCTGGTGGCCAGGAATTATGAGCGCTACAAAAATGAGTGCCGGGAGAAGGAGCGTGAAGAAGTGGTCAGACAGGCAACCAAGATGGCTGATGAGGCCCTTATACAAGAAAGGGAGCGAGGCGGCCCCGACGAGGGCTTGCGTGGGGGGCACCCTCCAGCCATGCAGAGCCTCATCAACCTGCTGGCAGACAACAGGTACCTCACGGCCGAAGAGACAGACAAGATCATCAACTACCTGCGGGAGCGGAAGGAGCGGCTGATCAGGAGCAGCACCAACTCTCTGCCTGGTGAGCTACGTGGCAGGGCCGAGGTGAAGTTCTGACTCTGCATTTCTCTACTCCCCAGGCCCGGTCGGCAGGGTGGGGGGTGGGGCTCCCTAAGATAATGATAACTGAAGACAGGGGACTGGATTCTGAGCCCTACAATTAATGTGCTGGTGGGTTGGCTTGGTGCCCCCGCCCCTAATCGCCAGTGCATCCCTTTCTTTACTTACATAAGAAAACCTGCTCTCAGGGAGGGAAGTGGGGGGGACGCAGCTGTTTTCTGGAAACGGCCAGTGCTGGGAAGCCAGCTGACAGGAGACTGGTGTTGCTGTCTGTACTGTGTGGTTGCTGTGACTCAGTGATTACTGTGCTCCCCATGGCTGCTGAGCTACTGGCCCTCCAGGGGGCCTTTCACCTATCTACCTTCTCCTCCTGTCTTCCAGGCACGATTTCCCGCCAGCCTCTTGGGGCAACCTCGGGTGCCTCACTGAAGACCCAGCCCAGTTCCCAGAGTGGCCAAGCACTCCCCTCTGCTACCCCAACTCCAGCCGCCACCTCCGCCTCCCAGCAAGAGCTTCAGGCCAAAATCCTCAGCCTCTTCAACAGCGGTGCCGTTGCCGCCAAGAGCAGCCCTGTGGCGCCATCAGTTGCCGCTTTGAGCACTCAGAACCAGAATTTTTCCACAGCAGTGAACAGCCAGCCTCAGCCAAGATCCCAGGCCTCTGGCAGCCAGCCTCCAAGCATTTTGGGACAGCCGGGATCTGCCCGGGGCCTGGGCCCCAGGCCTGGGGCTCCTTCCCAGGGAGTCTTTGGCCAGCCTTCCAGTCACCTGGCACCTGTCAGCACCATGGCTAGCCAGAGGCCCGTGGCTTCCACGGGTATCAACTTTGACAATCCAAGTGTACAGAAGGCTCTGGATACCCTGATCCAGAGTGGCCCTGCTCTCTCCCACCTGGTTAGCCAGACCACCGCCCAGGTGGGGCGGCCCCAGCCCCCCTTGGGATCTTTCCAGAGGCATTACTGAGGCTAACCTTACTCCATACCCTGGGCCCCCCTCTGGCCGCCGCCCACTTAATGCGTTCTAAATAGTTGTTTGGAAGATGTTCTTTGCGCCTCTCCAGGTCCACATTAAGTGTCTTGAGTTTCTGCCACCTGCTGCCCCTCTGCCCACGGCTGTTGCTTAGTCCTTTGAGGCTGCATTGGTTGGTTGGTTATTAGAGAATAAATTTATCTAGGGTAGTTGGGTGTCTGGGCTCAGATTAGATTCGGTGGGATCCTTGGGCTCCTCTGGTCAGCTGGATTTGGCGGCAAAAAGGAAGGAGAAACCGAGCCCCGCTGACTGAGTTTGGATGGCACTTTTCACCGCAGCAGGCACTAGCATTGTTCTTCTCTAAGCTAGCCTAGGCCACCCGGCGCTCCCAGGCAGCTGCAGGAGGCGGGTCAGGGAGCTCCCTGCAGCGTAAGGATGCAGGGGGAGTTCTGAATGCCCCGGGCAGCCTCTAGCAGGAACTGAGGCTTGGTTTGGGTTTTTATTTCCTCCTTTAATTTGCATTTTGTTGGAGATTATGGTCACCAGACGTTGACTCAGACTGTGAATCTGGGCCCTGGCCGCCCTTCACCCTGTCAGCTCTCTCGGCCTGCCCCAGTGGTAGGCTCTCGGACTAAGTGCGAGCTGTGACCACTGGTTTTTTTTCCCAGTGATCGATTTGAGCTTTCAGCTCAAAAAGTAGGCCCTTGTTTTTGTCTCGGTTCTTATTCTCTGAGCAGCAGGAGCAGGCAGGGACCATTTTGATATCCGACTTCTGATGGCTGGGTATGCTCTTCATACCAGTGAGACTTCATGCATTTGGAGCCAGAATGAACTTGTTGGCAGACAGGCCGTAAATGCAGCCAGAGGGGGCGCTCCTCCCAAGGGAGGGGGTTCCTTAGAGCCTGTGGCTCCATCTCAAGGGGCCCCAGCAGGGGCCAGGGGATAACGGTGATCTCAGCTTACTCCCTGCCCTGCTGGTGGCTGAGCAAACAGTGACTTCAGAAACAAGGTCCCCAGAGGGCAGCATTTTCTGTTCTGACTTATTTGTGTTCATAGTGTTTTAAAGTTTGTTTTGTTTTGGTGTCCCTCTTTGGAACTCTTGTCTGTTGTTAATAAAATGAAATGATTACTTTTTAATTAAAATGAAAAAGTAAAAGCTCTGTTCATCTTTTTTGGAGTGTATCTGCAGTACTTGTTTGGGGGGGGGGGCCTTCATAGTCAGAAGATGGAGTTTGGAGGATTCTGGGCAGCCACCTCCTGTCCTTACCCACTGTGTCCATGCCTTAGACTCCCAAACTTGACTGACCTCTTTCCCTCTTTTCAAAGAAAGAGTTACTCAATGCCCCGCTGGCGGTGAAAAGCTTTGGTACTTCAGCCCAGAACCATCATCCTGGATGAAACGTTTCCCAAGGGGGGTGTGGACCGCTTCGGGAAATACCCCTCTACCCCGAGCTGCCCTCACACCGCTCCCCAAGTTAGCAGCACTGACTGCTCCCAGCACCAGCCAGAGGTTGGTCCGACTGTGGCTACCCTTCCTTCTGGTAGACTCTCCTGGCAGGTGTGTGCTTAGTCCAGGAAAGGAAAATGGGCCCTGCTCTGATGCCTTCTCACTTGTGCCCCACTCCCACCCCTTCTGTTGCACCCATGATACAGGTAGTCAGAACCCCAGGATGACCGAGCTAGGAGCCTTGTGAGCATCCCTTCCCCTCATCAAACAAGCTGGTCGGGTGAAGTGATGAGCTCTAAGCAGCAGTGAGTTAGGGACCCAAGTGCTAAGAGCACACAATCTGGCCTTGCAAGAGTTGACCATATGCACAGAGGTCCCAGTGTGCGTTTCACTGCCCTCCAGGACAGTAACCCATCACTGGCTGGGCAGCCAGACCTGGGGTTTCCCCCTTGTCCCATCTCCGTGAAGGACAGAGTTCCTGAGTTGGGTCCCGGTAACTCCCTGCCACTGAGTCGGCTCATGAACAGCTTTCTCTCCACCCACCAATTCTCAAGTGTCCAACAACCTTAGGCCATAAAGGGTATAATAAAATTATTTTTATTGCATTTTGTGCAGACGGGAGTCTAAAAACTTAATACAGTAAAAGCTGTAGAGCATTAAATGGGAGCATTCAACGATAAAGAACCAACCCTCTCCTTTCAGATTGGCACAAAGAACACAAGGTCATACTGAGGCCGAATGCGGAATACTGAAACACCAAAAAGGAAAAGGCAGGCCTAGTAATAGTAATAATATTAATAAATACTCTGCATTTGGTTTGCAACCTCTCCTATTTACAAGGGTTTTCCACTTCATTGCATTGCCCTGCACATAGATAGTCTAAAACAAAAGCAACACTAGTATCACTACAGGCTATTGAAATATTGCACTCAGAATAAAAGTCACTTGGATGGACGTGAAACATCTAGCTACAGTGTTTATAAAGATAATCTGGTGAATGACTTGTGATAACATTCATAACAAATATTGCACATGTAGCACAGAAAACTTGGGTTTTTGTTGTGGTTTGTCTCATCGACGAAACTACTCTTGCCAGCCAGTCTGGGCCCAAATAGTGCAACTTTGGTTCCCAATACAACCCCCCTTTTGCCTTCTGCTCAGCCCACCCCCCAGCTTCAGCCCAGGACATGCTCAAGCCCCCGAGAAGGGCTGTGGTTCTCAGAGGAGGCTGGAACCTGGAAGGATCCATCCAGTGCCCTAATCAAGAACTCCCCACTTGGCCTAACCCACACTCTTCGCAGCCTCCAGCCCCACTTGGCCCGCCTGGAATGGCATCCGCTCTCAGCTCAGCCTGGAGCTCCAAAGGGAAAGAAGGTGGTGAGGTCAGGATTGCCCAGTGGCCCCAGCTCCGGTCTGTGGGCAAGATGTCTAACTAGGTGTGCAGGCCAGAGCCCTGGGCTGAGGGTGCTGTACTAGTCCCGCAGGGCGCTGGGACGAGCATGCAGTGCCTGTCCCCTTGAATGACGTGCCCTAGGGGAAGGGACCCCGGACAGTGCGCCTTCTCTGGGGACGAAGGGCGCCTGCGACCAGGCTAGTGGGGCGGAAGCGCCAAGGACTGGAATTCGGGCCGCTAACGGCCTTGGGTCCTGGTTGGAGGAAAGCAAGGAACCGTCGGGAACCCGGGGGACTCCAGCCTCCCCGCCCCGGGGGCCTGGGTGCCCCGGAGACGGAGCTAGAGGCTGCTGCTAGGCAGCAGAACCCGGTTCCCAGAGCTGCCAGATGGGGACGGGGAAGGGGGTATCAGGGGCCACGGGGCTTCCCGCTGGGTCCGGCGCCTACACCAAAACCACCCCTCCCTCTCCAGACGCGGGAGGAAGCTCTGCGGAGGGGCTGCCAGCTCCCCGATTTCAGTCTTTGGCGAGGAACTAGGGGGTAGGGGGGAGCAGGCGCCACGCCGGCCGGAGAGACGCCTGCTTCCACGCGAAGGCACCGGGGCGGGGCTTTCTCGCTCTCCTTGCACTTCGGCCCAGGCGGCCGAGAGCCGAGGAGGAGGAGGAGGAGCAGCAGGGGAGGAAGGGCCGCGCGTCTCCGCGGCCGCGGAGCAAGCTCCCGCCCGCTGGGGAGCGAGTCCAGGAGACAGTGGGTCCTTCGCTCCCCTCCGGGAAGGCCTGGAGGGCAGGGTGGGGAGCCCAGGGCGAGACGGCGTGGGGCTGGCGCGCGCGGGGTCCGGCCTACGACACCCCCCCCCCCCCGGGCGGGCCTGCAGCACTTTCGCTCAGTCTCCGACGAGGTCCGGGCCAACCCAGCTTTCCCGAGGCCTCCGCCGCAGCGGGCGCACTCTCTCCACGGCGGCGAGAAGTCCGTTGCGCTTCTAGTCACATAAATATGGGGACGTTAAAAATACACGCGATGTCTCCTGTACACTATGTATAGGCCCGGACGCCCACCCGCGGCTCCGCTGGAAAGGACGGGCAGAGGCGCGAGCGCAGCCAAGCCGCCCGGGCCCGGGTCCCCGCGCGCTCGGGGACGGGGCCGGGGCGGCACCAAGCCCCGCCCCGGTGGGAGGGGCCTCGCGGCCGCCCAGCAGGGCTCTGCAGCCGCGCCTCCTCCCGCACTTATTGTAGCGTCTCCTCGGCGGGTCGAGGTCGGGCTCCGAAGAAGGGCAGCGCAGCCAGGCCAAGGGGCCGGCGCCGCCGGGCTGGCTCGCGGGGTCACCGCGCGGGCGTGGCCTCGGGCTGCAGGCGGGGGCAAAGGGGCCGGGGAGCGGGCACGGGGGCTGTATGTAAACGGTGACGGCGGCGGGGGGCGCGGGCCGGGCGCGCTCGGCCCGGGGGCAGGGTCCTGGCTCTCAGGAGTAGATGGTGATGACCTCGCGGCCGCCGCCGCGGACCAGCATCACCCGGTCCAGGCGCTCGGTGAGGACCTCGAGGAACTCCATGTCTGAGCGCCGTCCGTCAAGGAAAAGGCACGGCGCCTCCGCCCCTGCCGAGGGCACTGGGCGTGCCCGGCGCGCCCGCGCCCTGTCCGAGGTGCTGATCCGGAACCCGGACGCGCTGGGCGCCGTCACCCCTGCCCGGGCCTGGCCGGGCCCGGACCCAGCGCCCCAGCCGCGCCCTTCCCCGCTCGCCCCTTTGAGGTCCAGGATACAGTTTTCGTCACCGTTGCGGTTGCGAGGAGGCCCCGGCATGTTGAGCAAAACCAGCTTGGCTTCCCGGGATTTCTTCACGATCACCTCGTTCAGCCGCACGGCCGTGTGCATGCGCCGCACGTTGGACTGGTTCCTAGGGGAAGGGGCGGGGAGAGCGCAGGGGACTGCGTCGGGGGCGGGGTCCGGAGGAGGGGACCCCCAGCCTTCCTCCGAATCCCAGCTCAGGGTCCTGGCAAACGGGGAATACCAAGGCCAGACTTCTCCAAAGGAGCCCTGGTGGCGTAGTGCTTATGCGATGGGGCTGCTAGCCGTAAAGTCAGCAGTTCGAAACCACCAGCTGGCCAAGGGAGGGGGAAATGAGGCTTTTCTAATCCCGTAAAGAGTTCCAGTCTCGGAAACCCACAGGGACAGTTCGACCCTTTCCTGCAGGGTCACTGTGAGTCAGAGTTACTCAATGGCATTGAGAGAGAAAGACCACCGCCACCCCCAAGCTGAGCACCCACTGGGGGGCATGGTGGAGTGACCGCAGCTAGGTCCCTGGCCAACCCAGAATAGAGAATGGAAACAACTCGTAGCCACTTACAAGTTCTCCCACTCCCTTCAGGAAACACAAGGAAAGCAGAGAGGGGAAGAAAAGGGGAGAGGTCAGGAAAAGAGGGAGAAGCAAGGGGCTTGAGCTAATCCCCCATTCCCCACCTCCACCGCCTCCCCTCGGCTGCCCAGGGAGCTCTGACCCCTAGCAGTCAGTCAAAATTCACCCAGGCCTCCGGAAAGAAGTCAGGCCAAGGCCAAGGTCCAGGCTGGGACTCTTTGGCTTTCCCGTGAGGAGGAAAGCCTCTCTGGGCTCACCCCACCCCCGGCCCTGAGCCCCCTGGCCCGTACGGCTTCATGTTGAAAAAGTCCTTGATGCCCTCGGAGGAAACAGGGCTAGGGCCCTTATTCTTCTCGGCGGTGGACTTGTCCTTGGTCCAGGTGAGATGCACCTTCTCAGGATCGAGTTCCCCCTCCCCCTCAGGCTCCTCCCCTGGTGAGGGTGAGCTGCTGGGGCAGCTGGGGGCGCTCTGGTCGTGGATCAGCTGCACCTGAGGGAGGAATGAAGGGACGCCGATGACCTCTCTGGAGGCCAAAGGGTCTGCTCCCACTGTTTGGGGCCAGAGGGGTCCAGCTACCTACCTCCTCCTCCGGCTTCTCCTCGCTGTCACCAGCGGTCTCTTCCGGGACGTTGAGGCGGAGCCGGGTGTTGGCCGGGTTCTTTCTCCGGATCGAGCCTCGAGACTCATCTGTGATACTCTGGATCTGGGGAGCCACACAGGTTGGGAGCAGCTCTGCTGGAGGTCTCCGCCCACACCCGGCAAAGAGGCGCCACCCAAGCTGATGCTCCGCTGCAGTGCACGCACACTGCTGTACCGGTTGTTTAAAATCCGACAGTGCTTCCATTCTGCCATTCTGAAGGAAGGGCAGCTGGCCCACTGACCTGGCCACCCCAAGTGCTCTCCAGAAGCCCCAGGCTTCCCAACAGCAAATAACCTTCCAGGCTGGCCCTCAGCGCCCAGACCCAGGA